TATTTATAGGATCAAATGTTTTGTACTAAATTAGATGAAGTCTAAATAAAGCAATTATTATTATTATTATTATAATTAGGTACTCATATATACTTATGAATCAAGCAAGGACATACGTATTTTATACAAACATCGGCTTCTTAAATTGGTAATATTTTTATTTTAACAATGTTTATTCAACTTTCAATCACTCTCTCAGTTAATTAACATATTAAAAAAACTATTTATACAACTCAATTCCGTAACAAACGTTCTATCACGACTACAGACGCTTTTAAAATTGAGTCCCCATAAGACATCAATGTATTAATTTTTGAACTAGGAACCCGCGCCAATTTGCGATTCTAACCTAACTAATATCATCAATTGGCCCAGTATGTCCTTTTTGTGCAATAACGTTTTAATTGCAACCGTCCTAGTTTCGCGCTTGTTTGGTATATTTGGCGTTTGAAACATTGTTCCAGCATAGGGTTCAATTATTGACTAAATGTCACTTTATTCTTCTATTTTTAATTAAATTTAGGTTTACTTGTAATAGCATAAGCATATGTACAGAATTTGGTTAACAAATATTTAGACTTCTATGGGGTGATGCGTTTTTTTTGTCACGCAGTATATCTTAGGTTAAATTATAAATAATTTGCATAAAATTTCTTTGCAATTTATTTATAATTTTATCGCATGATATACAGGGTGTTCCCCAGGGTGTTCCATTAAAAAAAAGTCGAAGTTGTCTACGTTTCTCCATTTTCCAATGCGATTTTGTTTTTTCTGATAATTTTTAATGAAAGTATAGAAAAAAACTGTTAAGTTTTATATTTGAAATATTTTTTTATGTTAAAATAGTAAAGGCTGTAGGTATGGGCTTAAATATAATCAAATACCCTGTACTACTGCCAGCCAGACCAGTATGATTACTATGGTGATGTCTTTTTGGCTGTTAATTAATATTAAGTTATATGCTAATTAAAATGAAATAAGGGTGGTCCTATAAAAGTGGTATAGTTACTTTTTATTCATCTGAAAACTGCAGCAAACTAACAAAACCTCAAACAAAACATTAACCTTTAAAACAGGTTAAAAAAATCAAATTTTTAAACAAACTTACTTAATAAATAACTGATCAAGGGAATGAATTTTTTGTTGGTTAAATATACTGAAACTAATGTTTTTAAACCCAACCCAAACTAAATAAGTGCTTATTTATAACCTCGAATATAACCCGCAATAAAGTGACTAAGTATCGTTTTTGCGGGTACATTGCTTTATTTGATGAACAATGAAAAGGTGTAAGATGATAGGGTGAAAATGTTGACTTTCAGAAAGTTGGTTTATTTAACTGATTATATATGAACAATAAAATAGATATATGTATGTTTTCATGCCTAATTTACTTGATTAAAAATAGAAATAATAACAGCATTTTTCTAGTAGCTTGGGATGTCAGACTGGTTTAATCGTATTTTCTCAAAATCAGTAACAGTAAAAAAATTAGATATTCTCCTCGATATTCTTCACTAAAATTTTTTGAATATTGTTGGGAGATTGAAAATTTTTCTCGAGATCTCTCTGCTGTCAGAGTCACATTTTTTCAAAGTCAGCTGCGGTTATCATGCAAGGTTGACAGACATTAAAACTAAGTATAGTTTTAAAAAAAAGGTTGACATTGCATATGATCCAAAGTTTGTTTGGTAAAGATTTCCTAGAAGTAAATAGAAAACAGACTTTTTTACTGCCAAATGATAACTGTCAAAAAACAAATGCACCACCTATGTTTAACAGGTACAATTCGAGGTACAATTTCATAAGAATCTTGATATACATTAGATCACATTTTGCCATTTTTCTCAAAAAATACCTAATGTGTATAACAACAAAATTTCAAGAAACAAAAAAGATCTCTAAATTGAGTGGGCCACCTTCTAACAGATTAATATTTTTCGCAAAATTCAAATATCAATGGCAGGGGAGAGGGAAGCCCACCAAAAAGTACCATCCAATTCTTCAAGTTATAAAACCCCTGTGTACCAAACATAGCGATTCTTGCACAACTGGATTCTGAGCATTAAAAAAAATCCTATTCTTAGGGGGAATTTTGGGGGGCCAAAATAATGGCAAAAAGTTTAAAACATAGTGGTTCTGGTAAAGCAAACTATTTCTTGGAGGATGGTACTATACCTACCTAAGTATTCAGTTTTCAAGGAGCAGTTAAATGGCTGTTTGCACAGCTCAAGGCACAGCTATAACTTAAGGGATATTTAATCTAAGTGCGACTTTGAATGTGACTCTTTGTTTCTACAAGAGTCACAATCTAAGCTCCACTTAGACTAAATATCCCCTCAATTTATAGCCACATAAATAGCCGTGAGTCAGTTAACATTTTAATTTTAGGTAAGGTAAAATGCTAGTTATTGACATCCAGCTAGTTATTGACACTTCCTACAAAATCTTGGTTTTTAAGGAAATGTGCCTTGTTTTGTGTTAAATTCCTTCATAAACTTCTTCCTTTATCAGTTTGGCAACACCGCATCGGCCGCCATAATTATCGGACCCGGCGTTAACAACACACGTGTTAAAGTTTTCAAAGTGTGCACAGTGATATATGTGGCTTAATCAGATTCTTAAGGTGAGTAAGTTGTTCAACCTTAATTTAAAAAGTTTAATTCTTAAATATCTGGTATTGGTAGTGAAATCAGATCTATAAAATAGACTAAAAATTCAAAATAAGGAGTAAAAACATAGCCAAACAAAAGGAACCTGTGAAAAAATGAGTGTCAATGAAATGCATATATGTATACCAAGACCAGTGATTGACACCCTGTCAAAGACTGACTTATGAGATATTTTTAAGATTTAGTTTGCATTAAGATCCTGAGGTGAAGACGATGTTGCCAATTCAAGTTTTTTGTTTTTATTTCAAGTAAATCCAGTTATTGACTGGGGGGGGGGGGTGTCAATTATTAGATGTCAATGACAAAAATGATGAGGAAGAAAATTATTCAATACCTGGACCCTCTGGAATTTCTTCCTCTGGGGTTTCTTTAGACAAAAATGATAAGGAAGAAAACTATTCAATGCCTGGACCCTCTGGAATTTCTTCCTCTGGGGTTTCTTTAGACAAAAATGATAAGGAAGAAAACTATTCAATGCCTGGACCCTCTGGAATTTCTTCCTCTGGGGTTTCTTTAGAAGAAAATAATTTAAGTGTAACACAAATACATTTAAATAATGGGGAAAAAAGTCCAGTGGCAGGACCCTCTGATATTTCATTTAATGTTTCCCTATTTCAAGATCCTGAAACTCCTGAAAAGTTAACTGCAGTAAAATCAAGTACAGCTAAACTTCCTTTTGTAGTTCCTTCTCCATTTAAGCAAGCACTTTTTTGGCCTGAAGAACAACCTAATACTAAGAAAAGGAAGAATAAAGAAAAAATTCTATCTGTAGTGACATCGAGTGCATGGCAGGCATACCATCGAAAAAAGGAAAATGAAAAACAAAGAAAAATAGAAGAGAAAAAAGAAAGATTAATTTTGAGAGAACAGAAGGCACTCCAAAAGCAAAAAGATACAGAGACAAAACAAAAATTCAGTGAGAAAAGAAAGAAAACTTCAAAAAGTCTACAAAAAAGAAAACCAGTAGGATCAAAAAGGAGGAAATATATAAGTGACTCAGATTCTCTTTCAGAAGAGTGGGCATCAAGTGGAGAAAGTGATGAGGAAAGTTTTGAACTGAACAGTGATGAAGAAATAAACATAACTAAATTAAAGGGTTCTGAAAAGGAAAACATAGTCCTTGAAAAAGAAAATATCCAAGGGGGTGACTATATATTAGTTAAGTTTCCTGGCAAGAAAAACTGGAAGAATTTTGCTTGTGTTGTTCAAGAAATATTAATTAATTCTGAAGCTGAAGTAGTAGGAATGATTTGTTGTAATGATAAAAAACTACATTTAAGTTAAATGCAACTGATGTATCTGTAATAAGTTTTACTCAGATTATTAAGAAATTGCCTTTCCCAAATATGATAGTATCAGGTGATAGGGTAAAATATGTTTTTCCAGAACCTGTAGATGTATCTGATACTATTTTTTAGACATACCTACATGTTAGTTTTTTGTTATATGGCATTAGTTAAATTTAAGAGAAAAGTTCTTAACTGATTTTGGAAAATAAATTAATACTAAGTAGTAGTCAATAACTGGGTGTCAATTACTAAATTTTGGGAAAATATCCATGTCAATCACTGGTATGGAAAACATCAAATAAAAAAAAAATCACAGTAATGGAAATAAGGTCACTATATTGAAAGTTTAATAATAAATTAATAAAAAAATCTCCAAAGATCAATATAAAAATATAAGAAACACCTTAAGTGTTTTGGTAAAAAAAAAAAAAAATGCTGAAGAGTAATTATGTCCCTTATAGTGTCAATAACTAGCGTTTTACCTTACCTACTTAGAAATGAATTGAGCTTAATTATCTAGAACCTACAACATAGCTAGGTACCTATTGAGGTATACCGAGGTATACCTACTGGATAGTATGAATAAAAACGAAGTATCTGCTACTACTACAATTAGTAGTATAATTCTCTGTAGTATTAACTTTAAAACGAAGTTATAACAATGCGAAACTACCAGAAATTAGTCAATTGTTTTTTTTTAAGTAAATACTGCGTAGAATATGCTAAATACTTGTAGTATTACCGAAAGTATTACCCACTATGTTACTAACCAGACCAATAACAAGTAAATAAGAGATCATTTACTGGGTTTTTCCTCAGATTTTTCAAGCTTCAAATGTTATTTTCGAATTGTGTGTTTTTTTAATGTGCATATCAAATTGTTTACATTAATTACAAAATAACAAAAACTTGAGTTAAAATGGTGTAAAGCCCCAAGGTCAGAAGGCTGCTAGAATATTATGAAGATTAAAACAAATATGAAATCACTTTGGTAATAAAAATAGATAAGAAAATAAAAATAGATAAGAATAATACGTGCTTCCATAACAATCCAGGGCTTAATCAGGTCTTGAAACTCTTTGGAATTCATCTTGGCTGGAGATATCGCTTGGGATTCCATTCTAGCGAATAAAACAAACAAAATCCAAAATAAGAACAACCAACCGAAGGGCGAGCGAATTCCGCTGTGAGTAGGAGTTGTAGGGAGACACTTTCGCGTTCAGCAATTAGTTTTAGGCTGGAATATTCACCAACTTTTCAGTTCTGCAAACAATTTCAAGATTTTTTGGGGTGACCCAACACTATTGTATATGGCCGCCATCCGAAAATAAAACTAAACACACGATTTAAAACCACAATACAACATGTGAAATGTGCGAACTATTTACTAAGAGCACGTTAAGTTTCAAATTTTCACCTTGTATACACTTAAGGAGTATCTCTCTCGGTCTTTATTCAATTCTGAAATACACTGGAGTTGAATCGGTTCTTCATGAGACGCCATATTTACATAATTTACACACAAGAAAATGCACAGCAGAGCAAGGAGGCACGCTAGGAAAGGGAAACGGCAAAGATACAAACTGCGCGTGCCCAGAACAGACTGATGACTGACCGCCGCCATCGGCGCCATCTCCAATTCTTGGTAGGTATTACGGGGAGCGGATTTGCTCCTCGGCGGATTTGAACTATTTCAAGCCATAGTTGGAGCGTACCGAGTAATACTATCGAAAAATGAAATCGTTATTCTGACAATTCGAAACGAATTTCGACTCGACTCGTAAAATAAGTTCAAGAGTATGGAACACTAGAGCTACTCGCTCCGGTGTTAGTCGATTTAAGTCGATCCCGATTTGAAAGGAACAGATGTGCTGGCTTTCATGCATTTTAAATGGTGAGTTCGGGCTTGAGCACTCCAGGTGCAATAAACACTTTTTGAAAAAAATAAGTAGTTGTATTCCTTTCACACCTACGAGGAGCTCCGGAACAGCTCCGGGACGTTACGCGCTTATTCCTTTCGAAAAGTGTTTGTTGCACCCGAAGTGCTCAAGCCCGAATCAAACCATTTAATTGCACGAAAGCCAGCGCATCTGGTCCTTTCAAATCGGAGTCGACGAACACCGGAGCGTTACGCAGTTGTATTCCTAAAGAGCTTAGAACACTAGAGCTACTCGTTTCGGTGCTAGTCGACCCCGATTTGAAAGCAACAGATGCGCTGGCTTTCCTGAATTTTCCGTGCGTTCGGTATTTTGATCTGAGTTCTACGAGCTTGAATTTACCGTTCGTTTATTTAAAAACTGTACTCGGTGCAGGCTCATTCGCGTTCGTTTATTAAAATTTCTTGCACTCTGATACAGCGTTCAACTGCTCTTTCCGCTCGCTGGTCACGTGATTACGGCTCCGCTCAGCACGCTCTGCTCCTTGAGCAAAGTACCGAACGCAAGGTTTTAAATTGTTTAGTTCGGGCTTGAGCACTTTAGCCCGGTATTCATAGACGGATGCTTGGCTCAAGCTCCGATTTTTGACAGTTGTGAGCATCGTTCCGTGCTCTTTGGAAACGCAAATATGGCGTCAAGTCATACTTGAGCCAAGACGCAACCTTGAGCATCGACTATGAATACGGGGGGTGCAACAAACGCTTTTCGAAAGGAATAAGCGCGTAACGCCCCGGAGCTATTCCGGAGCTCCTCCTAGGTGTGAAATGATACAGGGCTGGAACTGTGTAACGAATAGAGATTTTTTCTCTATCTGACGTCTCCTCTCTATTGATTTCGACAAGAAAGAAGAAGGCAGCAAGTGCCATAGCGATAAGGATATAAACGATCCTTATCCGTTACAGAGTCCCAGCCCAGCTGATACAAATGGTGGCTGGGTTATGAGAAGTCGAAATTTTGAAACAAAATTCAATGCGAGAGCGGATTAGAGCAGCATGGATTACTAGTCACGTGAATTCAGAGCAAATGGAGGAAATCTCAAATAATTCGAACGATCTGTGAAATTACGCTGCCAAATTAATTGTTTGTTTGGTGTGCACAGGTATTTGAAAAAAAAAATAAATTTTCGACGTTTAATTATCCTTAATATTCAATACAATACGATTTTCTAGAATTCGAAGCGTTGTGGATAAAAAGGGCAAAAATATCAAGGAACAGACCAGTGGAAAATGCCTTTTGGCGCTTTACAAGAAACACACACAAACAAAAGGCATGAAATACTCCTTCTCTCAAAAAACACCCACCACAAATCCATTGTAGTGCCTGTCGAACAAATTTTTATCCGACGCAGAATCGAACACGGAGCACGCCGAGTGCGCCCGCCGGGCCTCTCTAGTGTGATTGTGAGTCACAGCCGAGTGCAGCTCGTGTCCCGTACAAGGCCGTGTCTCCAGGGATTCGTTCGAAAACACACTCGGTTACTCCAGTGTGGGCTCTTGCTGCTCGAAAATGCGGATATAAGGTCTGTTTGTGCAGGAATCGCAAACCAGTCAGAGTGAATTTCATTGGTTGAAACTAGTTTTCTGATTGTTTTCAACCAATGCAATTCGCTCTGACTGGTTTGTGATTTCTGCAGAAACAGACCTAATATTACCCGGTTAACTTTTCTTCGGAAGTTCTCATTGTGCAATAGGCAATTTTTCGCGAGAATAATCAAGCATAATCTGATTATGCTGGGTTATGTGATATATCAATTGTGTCATACTCCCAGCTTCCTCTCCATCAAATTCTGGGCCTGCGACTGACGTCACTATCAGCAGCTCATAGTATTGACGTTATCCGCAGACCTCGATGAAATGCTTGCGATTCAGGCTGTGCTAATGAGTTAATTTTTTCGTAAATTTAAATGTAGAAAAGGTGATTTTCGGTCTGTTCTCACAGAAGAAATTGGTCGCGTTCACCAGCACTCACCAGCACTCAACATGTTGAGTGATTAGTGAGCGGCTTTATCCCAACAAGTGGAATACACAAGGTAGAACAGCTTTTATTGGTCTAGAGCTGATTTTCATCTGTTTTCAACAAAGCCGCTGACTAATCACTCAATATGTTGAGTGCTGGTGCACGCGACCATTAAGTGTTCTTGATCCCCGAGTTTCCCAGAATTTGATGGTGGGAGAATTAGGGGAGTATGACACAAATGACACATCACATAATCCAGCGATTATGCTTGGTCAAGAATGCTTGGTTATCCTCGCGAAAAATTCCTTAATCTCAAAGCAGAAGGAAGATATTTCATTCTGAATGATCTATTTCCATCGGTTATTGCTGGAAATATGATTTATGCACTCGAGGAGTCCTCGGAAGAATCAGAAGATGTCAGATAATGAAAATTGAAAAAAAATAAAATAATAGAAAAACAAAACAAAGGCAGTCCAAAAAAGAAATTCAATATGACGGCATAGGTCAAGCATCTGTCATCCGTGATGTGTGCTTGTATAAACCTAGTTTTATGGTTTTTTTCCTTTAAATTGCGGTTTATGATTAGTGCGAAGCATTTATTTTTCAAAAAAATGTCTGCGATATGTATTAATTGTAGTTGCTGTTTTACTTTACTTAATAGCTATTAACCTAACAAAATGCGGAAAATTATTTTTTCCGCAAAAGTCTGCCGTTCACCAAACGACGGGTAGCGGAGTACGGTGAACGCTGACGCAGCCGAGTGCAGGATAAACATTTTCCGCAATGGTTTGTCTTCAGCCGTGTGGAAAAATCAATTTTCCGCACCGATATCCATGCGAAAAAATGTTTCCGTACTAGCGGAAAAACTAATTTTCTGCACGGATAGCGGTGCGGAAAATTTACTTTTCCGCACGGCTGTAGAAAAAATCATTTTTCAGTACCAATCGTACATCAGAAATCAGTACGGCCCGTTAAAAAAGAACACAGCCCCAGTACTAAATTAGTGACGTATTCGTATTTGTATCGTCATAAGTAATTTTTTCAGTAAATCAGTACCTACACTGAATTTTAATTCTGGAACGCTTCCCAGCAAATACAGTTCTGACAGTTGAAAAGAACGTCACAAATATTAAGTACGGTCTACACGCAAGAAGACAAATGGCCGTTTGCACCGACCATTTCAAGGGAGGTTTAACGATAATCAACGCTTAAGGTGACATTTTTACATGTAAAACTGCCACTTTGAGCGTTGATTATCGTTAAACCTCCTTTGAAATGGTCGGTGAAAACGGCCATTAACCTAATAGGACTGCTTTGAGCTGAAAGTATCTGCCATATCAGCCGCAGACCTCAACTGTTGGCGTAAAATCCATTAGCCGAGTTTAAAACACTGCATCATAAAAAAACGAATTCCTAAACGTTGAAATCTTGTTTAAATCACCTTTTTTACATGTAAAATCGACGAGAAAATTAACTCACAACCACAGCCTGAATCGCAAGCATTCCATCGAGGTCTCCGGACGACGTCACCACTATAAACTGCTGATAGTGGTGACGTCACTCGCAGACCCTGCCGACTCGAGAACTGGCGAACGTACGCTTTATGAAAATGAGCAACCTACAGTTAGTTTACGATTCTTATGGCCGTTTCCACCAACTATTTTAGGGGAGTCTTAACGATAAGTATTCCGTAAACTGACATTTCTCCATGTAAAAATGTCATTTTAAGGAATACTTATCGTCAAGGCTCCCCGAAAATAGTTGGTGGAAACGGCCATAAGTCTACACGCAACGATACATCTATCGTACGATTAAAATTTTACATGCGCATGTGAATCGCTATAGACGAATCGTTGCGTGTGGATGGCAGATTTGAACAAATTTTAGAACTGGAACTGTGCAAAGTCGGAGGTCGGAGTTGGAAATCTGATCCAAACTAGCATGGATTTGGAAGATTTGCACATTCAAATCCTATAACATGTGTATGCTTGTCGGAAATTTGCACAGTTCTTAGCTGCAACAAACTGCGTATAGCTATCGACACTTCTAGAACGGCAGTTATTGATTTATAGAAAATTAACTGATTTATTTTGAGTTTGTTAAAAAATTTGTCGACCATTTTGCATAATTTTTTAATAGAACTTATTTATTAATACAAAAGTTTCCCATTCCTATGGCATATAAAATCGAAAGGCGGTGGACCGGGCCTTACACCAACATTCTGTCAATTGTCTCCATTTCTCTAGGGGGTTTCCTTTTTTTTTTTTTGGTTATAGCATTAAATAATTGTGTTTCTTGTTCCTTGTTTTTTATTGCATTTCTTGCAGTTTAAGGAGCATATCATAATTTCGTCCAAGAAATGAGAGTTTTTTTGACAGTGGGACGACCAATAGGAAGGGTCTTCGCAATTCGTGATTCGCATCCATTGAAATGTTCGCATCTATAATGAATACTTTTTATTGGGTAATTATTGGAGCGCGTTCATAAATATATGCCCTAGGGTAACAGTTATACCAGGGGTTAACCAAATGCGTTCAAAAATCAAGTTAAATTTATGACGTCATACGTGAGCGTTTATGAATTCATTCGGCGATCACCCCGGATGTTCTAAAATCACAGCTCAA